GCAAAATGACTACTCATATCTGTAGCAAGTACCATTTCAATAACCAAATGTCGAAAATTTCTATTGAAATTATTTTTAAAGACAAAATATTTACAACAAAAGTTTTTTTTCTAATATTTACTTAAATTCTTCCGGTGTAAATTCAGATAAAATATTATAATCATCTATTCGCATTAATCGAAATGCAGCGCTTACATGATGATTTTCCAATACAGCACGATCATTATATATTAACGCAACATCCGATCTAAATTTTATAGAAAAAAATAAATAGATTTACTAATTATAATCATTAGAAATACATTATGATTGAAAAATGCTATATTGCAAAAATATAATTTTACTAACGGAAAGTTCGTTCTATCACACATGATGAATACAGTGGCGGATTAAGGGCGGGAGGAGAGGCGATACGGATAGTAGCTCCCGCCCGCTTTTCAGGTATCGTGCCCCCCCTCTGCCCGCTATTCAGGTATCGCCCCCCCCTCTGCCCGCTATTCACGTATCGACCTTCTCCCTTCCAAAATCCTAGATCCTCCACTGGATCAATACTACTGTTATCTCTTAATTTTTTTCATCGACTATAATTAACGCCGAGACTTTGAATATACTATTTTAAAAATATTCATAGTAATTAAAGTCTAAAAATAATTATGTAGATACTCTCTATTAAAATTTTCTTGTTCGGAAATACTCATTGATCTATAAACAATACTAATCTGTCAAATTTCATACTGAGATTAAAAACAATTTGACTTTAATTCCGTCGGAAATGTGTATTTATATATATTCAAAAGGAAAAGTCCTTGAAAATCAGTAGCTGAAAATAAATGAGCTCATTTAACCTAAGGCGTATCTTACTATTCAAACTCGAGATGTTACTTACAACATGGATTCATTTACGGAAATAATAAGCACAAATCACATAGTGTTTTCTTTAGAAATTATTCAACTAAGCGTACGTTACATCCGATTTATTGTGAAAAGTTTCGATGTTTATTTCGAAGAAGAATTTACCTAGATTGAATATGAAAGTTATTCGACGTTCCTGTATGTTCAAAATCATGAACAATAGCTGCAATAAACATTGCGAATAATTCATGATCATTAAGCCAATTCTAAACAATGAAGAAAAAAAAAAGAATATAAGTCATAAATAAAAATATTCATTAAAGCATCTAATTTCAGGCATGCTAGGCAAAAGCAAAAATTAACTAATAATTTTTTTTTTATTTCACAAAAACTACGAAGCAAATTAAACAATGAAACTCCGTTGACCTCTACCATGAGACCAGAATTGTAAATGATTTGATATGTTGTTTGTAAAACATCAGCTGCATGAATTAAATTATGATATGGATTACGATATTTACTATAACCACTTTCCATTTGTTCAAGAAAATTATTTAAAGCAGTTATAGATATCTAAATAGAATATAATTAACAATCATTGATAAAAAAATATCAAATAACTTTACATGAAGTTTATTTGGTAAATTATATCTTTGCATAAGTTCAAAACCAACGTAACGTAAACATTGACCACTTGTAAATTCATTCACAGAAAATACATCAAATGTCCATTCATTAATTGTCTAAATAACAAAAAAGTTTGTTTTTTTTTCTATTTATATTAATCATCATTATATCTACTATTATAGAACAACATTTAAAGCATGCATATATTGGTGTCATTCGTGCAAAAAGAAACTACTTTATTAACTGATTAATTTATGGGAACTAACTTACTTGTCGGTTCATGTAAGTATTAACAGCCGGAACATTCCGTCGAAAAATTCTAAAGGATGTCTCATGTGATTTAAGCGTGTAGTTTTTATTGAAAAAAGAGATCGAAATATTCATTATATAGATGTATGCGTGAATATGAAGTGCAAAAAAACAAAATTTAATCCAAGAAGAAGAAGGAACATTATATGTAAGAAATTTCAAAATTGAACAACTCAAAAATACCTTAAATTTAATGTCGATAGATAAACGTCTCAGGTACCTAGAAAAATATATACAATAACAAAATGGATGCCACACATTGAAAAATCTTTGTATTATATATAGTTCTGGGATCATGCATGCATATTATCAAACCAAATGATTTTAATTTCTTATTTGAATATTTTTGTTTATTTCAATCATACCTTTAATTTTATATGTTGATACCAATCTTTAATAAGCCTGATAAAGGGTAATCAGAAGAAAAAACAAGAGAAAAAGTAATATAGCCAGAGACAGAGAATAATCAAAAAGAAGAAAAGTAATACGACAAAAAATACGGATTGCGTCTAGAGTTAAAGAGCAACTGCTTAAGTCATACCTGTGAAAGCTGAAAGATATAATAAAATAAATAGACTAGAACTCAAAATTTCTTTTTTTTATCTCGTTTGTATTTATAAATTGATGTAAATATATATGAAAACTACAAACCTGTCTACCATAATACCAGCACGTATGGCTTGTGCAACACTTTTAAATTTAGGTTTGTCTGATGGACGTCGTTTAATTGTTGACATGGATCGAGTAAATGTCATTGCTAACCAATCTCGTACTTCATTTGGTACAGAATCTGGTTCAATCTCTGATAATGCACCGTCATCTTCTTCCATTAATCTTCTAAAATAGCAAAAAAAAAATAAAGTAAAAAAAAAAAAAGTTCAGTTATATATTATAATGCCGACATGTTAATTATCATCAGTAAAATTTCTCTATGTTTTTTTTTATTACACTAACATCAATGTCAAAATAATGATAGTGGGTGTCATAAGTGTTGTTGTTATTCTTTATAACGAAGAGAGGAGAAGAAAAAAAACTATGTATGCTAGAATGAATGATTATATAAAGCTTTGTTTATGTAAATTATAAAAGAAGAAGAAAAAAAACGAAGAAAATAAAGTAGCTTATCTAAATCTGATATACAAAATCTGTGTCATTCTTTTCATAAATAAAAATTTTCTTCTTTTTTTAAAACAAGTTACCTTGTTTCATCTTGATGAACAGCTTCAAGAATATTTGCGATATAATCCAAATTTCGTACAAGATCTTCTTTACGTACGAGTATATTACAATGAAGTGCAGCAATTATTGTGCGTAATCTAAAAAATAATTCAATGTATGTATGTTTTTTGTTTGCATAGATATAGTTTTCAATTACCTTTCACTACCAAGTTGTAATGCATCGAATGAATCAGGTGGTGGTAAATTATTAGCTTTTGCTAAAGTAGTTACATCATGTTCGATAATATCATATGGAGTTTTATTAGCACCACCTTCATCAATATCACCATCATAAAGATTAGTTTCATCAATCGATCTGGATTTATTGAAGAATATTGATGGTACATGTTCTGATGATAACATAATTTTAGTTGTTATTATTTTTTTATGTAAAGGAAAAAACTCGATTTTTTTTTTGTCTTCAGCTAAGACTAATATCGACTGAAGAGAGTAGCAAATAGATTCGTATAGAAATAACTAATGGACCTCGAGAGAAGGAAATAACTGACATGGGAAAGATGTTGTGTGTTTGCATTCTATCAATCTAGGAAATAAGAAAAAAGAAGTCGTAGTTCTATGTTGATATATTTATATGACATAAATGGAGTTCGAGCTTTTGTCATCGAGAAGAAGAATTATACTTTATCGTTGTAGACAGACAGATATCAATGAATATTCATCATCATCTCTTATGCATAGACATATATTCTTTTGTCTTACAGATACTTAAGATTTCCAAGAAAATAGATTAATGTGTGTAGAGAAAAATAATTAACCTGTATTGTTATGTATAACTGCTGATGTCGATGATAATTTAGCAGATTTTGATGACTGATGATGATGATGTCGTTTTGTATTAGATGTCCCTGGTACTAAAGATATAATAAACAAGAATAAAAGATCATATAATAAATCTAATCATAACTTGATTTGATTTATTTTAGATAAAACTATAACAACTTGTTTTCTATTTCTCTCATAATATGTCTATGTGTATATGCTAATAAGTTATTTTTAGTATTGTTAATCAAGTAGAAAATATATTCTCTATAATTATCATCATTGAAGTTTGTTGCTAGCAAACAAGAAAAGTGCACTTCTCATATATATGTTTCTCCAAGGAAACAACAAATCAACAATAATCTAATAATTCTATGGATATTACAAGATGATTCAATCATATCATTATATCTTTTGTTTTTTATGAATCGAAAACATTTCTCTATTAATCAGAAAATGTCTATGCCATTTCCAAGCAATGATATGTATTTATATGACCTTAAAACAATTCAAAACGTCCTAACGCCTGTCATAAACAACATAAATTATATACTATGTAAATTACAGTTTTTTTTTTTATAATTAAAATAATATTTATATTTTCAATACTGTTAAAATACTAGATCGGATTAATGTGTGGTATTATTAATAAGAGAAAAAAAAAAGAGAAAGTGTGTTTTATAATACTCGTTTTCTTTTCTATCTTTGATTTTTAATACTTTTAGCCTAAATATCGCTTTAGTAAATTTATAATCATGACAACTGATGTGAAGTATAAGATTGAATTGGTTCGTTTTTTTTTCTAACTCAAGATTGATAATAACATGTTATTACCTTTGATTGTTTTAGATGCTGAATTTGTTAATGAAGTACCAATGATAATAAGCGATGAACCAGAAGTTAATCGAATTTTTCGACCTGGCATTATTTATTTATATATATATAAACATGTATAAAAACAAAATAGATGTGTTGCTATCTTAATAGGAAAGAAAAAAAAAGAAATATTAGCAATATTATATTAACAAGAGATTTTATATGGATGAAAAAAAAAAGAAAGAAAACTCACATTTCAATCACGACTAATACTAAATAAATAGATAGAAGGATGAGAAGGCGGAATAGTAACACTGCATTGTAAAAACATTATCTTTTTTTTCTGTTGTACGACGACAGTGATGACGTTCAACTAAGATTTGCTTAGTAGTAATAATCATCATGCTGAAGGATTTTGAGAAGAAGAAGAAGAAGAAAGTAAAAGAAAAGAAAAACGGAAGAATGAGAAAAGATTATTCTGTGCTCATCAACATCCTTTACTGTAATAAGAATAGTAATGACGATTACCTGCACTATTCGGCAGCTATTACTTCATCATATTCCTCTTCTTCTTTATTCTTTGACGCCTTTTAGTTGAGGAAAAATTATAATAATTATGCAAAAAGAGATAGAGAAGAGAAAAAAAAGGTATAGTGTATAAAGATGAATGAGTGACACGACATACCGGTCGTAAAATATATATATCTATAGTGACCGACCAAGTATAAAAAAACACACATACAAAGAAGATTTTCCATTTTCTCTCGTCTTTTTCTTTTTTTCTTTTCAAGATCAAGTAAATTTATATGACTATAATATTTAAAAAGAGTATTATTTAGAGAATAAAATTATTTGTTCAATCTAGTAGAAAAATCTTGTTCTTATCAAATAACAAAAAGAATGAAAGAAAGACTTTGATTATAAATGCAACTCATATTTTGTAGTTCTTTCGATGTTTATCTGTCAGATTCTTCTTAATATAAACTTCAAAAAAATAAGAATCAACATAGATAAAGCCTATCATATTTCAACAACAATAATAGTAATAATAATAGAAAAAAATAGTCTAGGGAAACCAAAAAAAAAAGATGTTACAAACATCATTCTTATCAAGTACATACTCGGGATGATTAAAATAACAATGAGGAAAAGTTATTATAGTCTATTATCTTTATGAAGAAATATTGTCACTTGTTCAGATGTTGAATACTACTCTTGAAAGAATTAATTCATACTTATTACAAATGAATAAACAAGTATTTATTTCTTTTTATAATAAGAATTTTTAAATATCTATATAGATTTTATTATTAAAATTATATACAGCAAAACCATATTTATGATTATCTTTTGAAAAATTTAACTATTGATGACGTACACAAGAGAGCTTTAAATATACCAAAATCTCTTTATTTTTATTTTGTTGAATGTCATACCGCCTTTCAACAATCAATGTTAACTTTTTCTAGAATTCTCTAGATAGAACATAGAAATATAGATTAAAGAACCTAATGATACATAAATGATTGTTTTTCCTTAAGTAAGTGATATCTTGAGAAGAATCTACATTTCGTATCACATGTCTTTCTCAAAAATAAATAGTTTGTAAAGCTTCTTGTTACAACTAATAGTAAAGAATCTACAAAAATTCTTTTCAATACAATTCATGCTTTTAGCTCTTTTTTTATATTTATTTGAATTTTTTGTACTTTATACAAATTTCAAAAATAAGAACCAACACACACAAACACACACACACGCACACGCACACAGAAAAGCATGTCGTATAACAACAGTAATAATAGCAAAAAAAAGAAAGAAAACTACACAAACGATGTGATATACATCGATTTTCACAATTACTAAAATAGAACAGCACCAACATACACCGTTTTTTTCGGTGATAATTGTTGTTTTGTAATAAGATATCGTTAAATGGACGGTATAATAAAATGTATAAATCAAACACGAAAAAGTTTAAGATTTTGTCGTTGTTTTTGTATAAAGTTGTCGAGTATTTTTTGCTGTTTCCTTTGCTAATGACTGTTCATATTTAAAAAGTTCAGCAAGTGTAACATCATTTGGTAAATAAGTTTTCTTTCCTGAATATGATTCAAGACGTGATGCAGCCATATTTGCACGTGCTAATCGAATTGGTGTTTCACTAAAAATTAAATATTATTAAATATTTTTTTGTTAATTTAATTTACAATCCATTTTTAATATTTTTTTTTTGTTTTTAATCATTTCAATAAAATAATCCAGTTTGTTATTATCTGAGTTTATTTTATTTTATTTTATTTTTTTAAAAAACAACCATGCTACCGAGCATCATGCAAAGAGTATAGGTTATTAAATTTACCTGGTTTTCACACGCACGAAAAAAAGATTTATGAGCTAAAATTGGAGAAAATATTATTTTTATGTCGACAGGGATTTTGTACGAAAAATAAATTCGCGGACAAATTAAACTTAAAATGGTAATGATGAGAACTAAACAATCTCTCGATTGGATTTTTGATATTTAATTTATTATCGAGAATAATTAAATATGAAAATTACCTTGATAATAAACTTTCTCTTGCACGTTCAAATTGTGATGCTGATTCTGTATGTAATTGTTGTGAATCTTTAACAAGTTTATCTGTTTCATCTAAAATTGCTTGTTGACTTTTACTTAAACCTTCCATATGTGATAAATTTCCATTATTATAATCATATTTAGGATTATTTGACATAGGATAACGTGGTGTTGGTCGATGAATTGTTCGAATTGTTTCATGATTATTATTATTATTATTCGATCGATTATCAGTAAAACGTGATGGAAGACCGGATGTTTTTGATGTTAAAAATGATACATCAAGTAATTGTGGATGACTGGCAATAATTTCTTGATTTGTTTGTGTTGTTAAATTTTCTGCACTTGTACTTAAAAATGATTTTGATCGTTTGATATTGATTAAACGTGGAGTATGTTCATATGTTGATATACGATTTGTTGGATGATTTTCTAATGAAGATTTTCGTAATTCTAATTCATCAATTTTAATATCTAATTGTTTTTTAGATGCTTCTAAACGTTCACGATAAACAACTAAATGTTGTCGTGTTAATGCTGCCATATCTTCTTCATATTGTTGCATTTTTAATTTAACTGTTTCATTATCAACTGATGTGGAATCAAATGAAAGTGCACGAAGAAGAGCGTCTAAAAATGTAATAATAGATAATAAGAAGAATTTATTGTTGAGAATTATCTTTCAAATACAATAGATGTTTAAAAATATTCATTATGATTTCATTTAAACAAGGTAACAAAATCTTCTATTGAAGTACAATTGTCTGTGTAATTGACAATAAATGACTGATGTTATCATATAGAAGAGCAACTTCACAAGGTTTTTATTTTAATTATTGAAAGATAGAATTGATTATAAAAAATGCTCATTCAACTGTTCGTAAGAAAATAAAATTATAGATATTCAAACCCACACCCACTCTCAAGATATAATTTAATTACCTGTTTCTCCAATAATATAATTTAATTTTGCTTCTGTTAATTCTACCCAAATATTTGATCGACTCCAATTTAATGAAAGTAAATCAAGTATATGAGCTCGTTCACGACATAATTGTGAAATTTCTTGTTCAATTTCTGTTGTTGATGTATTTAGACTCGGATTATCTATGATTGTATTTTCATATGTATGATTAATTAATGGTGATGTTTGTCTAATAATTGGACGTGTAGTTAATTCAGATGTATCTTCACTATCAGATGATGAACTTTTTCTATCAACTTGTACACTTGAATTTGATTTTCGAGGTGGAATATGATGATTATCATCAACAAGAATACCAGAATCAGCACTACGTTCAAGTTTTGTTCCATGTGTTGTTAATGTATGAAATTGTGAATTATTATTATTATTATTATATGTTTGTATTCCATCTTGTGTTTTTAATAAACCGGGTATTTGATAAGGTGATACTTGTGTATAAGATGTTATTGTTTCAAAATAACATTGTAAACCTTGATCAGATTTCATTGGTGGACTATATTGAGATGAACGATCAACTGTTTGTGGAAATGTTATAGGTGATGTTGCTGTTGTTTGATAACATTTTTCAATAATTATTGGAATAGGTGATAGAGCAATTTCATGAGTCAATTTTATTTGTTTATCTGTATTCGTAGGAGATTGTTTCGTATCATGTGATAATAAATTATATGTTGAAGTTGTATTAACAGATGATTGAGTTTTTTTTTGTAGGTTTAAATGGACTACGCCATGGTGTACTACTACCATTAATAATCGTATGATCATGCCAAGAATCAATCACTTCAACTTTATCTTTTTTTATTGGATGAGATGCTCGAAGATGTTCACTATATTGATTAGATATAGATTGTGATATTGGTTTTTCTAATTGAGATTTTAAAGAATTATTTGAATAAACAGAACCCTGAGTTATAACTATTGATTCACAAATTGAATTGAGCATGGTTGATGGACCATCAATATCAATAGAAATCATATCAGACTAAATAAATAAATATGATACACATTATTTTATTTTCTCACAAAATAATAAATCTCGTTTGA